GTGTGTGTGTGTGTGTGTGTGTGTGTGCGTGCGTGCGCACACACACACACACACACACACACACAAAAACAAATACTTCAAACAAATACTGTGTGGGTAAGACACCCTCAGGGTGTGTGTTCTGTTTGCCATGGTAACAACTTCACAGTACTCCACAAGGGGGCTCCCTCTGGTCAGGGGGAATCCAACATTAGAAATTACATTGGTCTAGACATTGTCCCTCTATAAGTAAACACCTGGGCAACGCCGTGTTATCAGTTAGTCCATTATAAAAACTGGACAAGCTTTAACCTATTGTCATCCCACACAACTGGCTTGTTACCACGCCTTAAAAATAGGAGATCTTCACTGCGAATATTTATCTGCATACAATTTCCTTTAAGTCAGAGGGCTTCTCTCCCTCCCTCTTGCACTCTCTTGTTCTCCCTCTCTCCCACTTTGTATCCATTACTATTAGTAGCCTAGAGATGTTAGTCAGTGTGGGGCTCGGAAGTAACAACTTAGAAATGAACAAATTAAACTTTGAAGAGTAGTATGTGCTAATAGCATCTTTAACTTTAAACCATTAACTTGCTTTTTAAATAATAAAATCCTTTGCATAGATGTGTCTTACTTCATTTAGTAGGATTTGAGCTGTGGTGGCACAGTGGTTAGAGTGCCGTACTGAAGGCTACTTCTGGCCTGCAGTTCAGCCGTTCAAATCACACCAGGCTCAAGGTTGATTCAGCCTTTCATCCTTCTGAGGTCGGTAAAATGAGGAGCCAGATTGTTGGGGGCAATGTGCTGAACATTGTAAACCGCTTAGAGAGGGCTATAGAGCACCATAAAGGGGTATATAAGTTTAAGTGCTATTGCTATTGCTATTTACTACTAGAAAGCCTACAGTATATTAGATTGCAGCCTAAATCACACCAAGCTAAAACAGTTAACAGAAACAAGAAAGGTAGAAAAATATGATATAAAAATGAGACTTTTGCAGACTGACTCTACCTATCATGTAAGGGAATCCCCCCCCCAATTCAGGAATTTTGTATTTTATTTAAGAACATCATTCTTGTTAGTATATCACATGTCATCAATCTATAGGCTTTTGGGATTTAACAGGAAAGTCATTTAATCATAACTAATGTGATAAACAAATTTCTTAGCAAAAATGAAATCTCTAGACCAGTTTTATCCAATGTAGTTGCATGGATATCAATTCCCTGAACCCTCAGTACAGCCATATTAGGTAAGAAATTCTGAAAGTTTAATCTATGTATCTTGAAGACACCAACCAGAGAAGATTGTTGTAGATTACTTCCTTTTTTACTTTAACCATAGAAAATGTAGAGCAGAATACATAATATACAAATAGTTTACCTGGGAAATTGGTTATGTCTGCAGAAAGAGATTTGATTGTGAGAAATACATTAATGTCATTCGTGGTGGAATGAAATCTTCTGGTGGTGTTTTTTTCCCCTCTTCTAAACCTACAGATCTGCTTGGAGTAGTTGGGAGATGTGAGAAATATAAACAAAAGAATTCCTGACATGAGTCTACCTATGTAATTTGAAATGTCATTTCAAATTTTCGTTCCTCATGGGAAGAAAAGAAATATTTCCTTTTTCTACAGTTGAAAAGCTGTTGAAAGTAAAAATAAATAAATGTATTTTTTCATGTTTGAAAAAAACAAGGCTATAAACATTTTGTTGCTTGATTCACAAAGTTGGACGAAAATGTTTAAGTTTTGAGAAAATATTTTGCTATTACAGGAATGAAAAAAGTGTGGCAGATGTGTAATGCAAGGCCCAATGACATTTCTTTTGTGGCAGAGTTGCAAAACATAGCCTCATTGGGGGACAAAATGCCTCCCCCCATTTTTACATGGGCATCTACTTAATCCCAATCTATACCTTTTTACCCTAGCTCCAGAAAGCTCCTGAAGCCTCCGCGCCTGTCATGTGTGCATGTGTGCTGGGGTGGTGGTTACACATTGCATTATGGGTGTGGCACGCCCACACATGACCCCCCCCTGTGCTCCCCCCGCTTATGGCACGCAAGCCAAAAAAAGTTCGCCATCGCTGCCTACCAATTGAGAAGCTTACAAATGCGAGTAGATAAATGTTCCCCCAAAATAAGACCCAGTTGGAAAATAAGTCCTAGAATGATTTTTCAGGATGCGTGCAATATAAACCCTACCCCCAAAATAAGCCCTAGTTAAGCTAGCCAGCCAGACGGACACATTTAGTACCATATTTTCCCAAAAATAAGTCCTAACTTTTTTGGAGCAAAAATTAATATAAGACCAGGTCTTATTTTGGGGAAAACATGGTACTTTGGTGGGGAAACATGGTACTTTGGTGGGAAAGTAACAGTGTTCTGTGTGTCTCAGCATATAGTCATGTTGGCCACATGACCATGGAAGCATCCTTGGACAATGCTGGCTCCCTTGGCTAGGAAACACAGATGAGCACCGCCCTCTAAGGTCTGACACTATTGGACTAGGGAAACCTTTACCTTACACCTTGCAGACGCTGCACCCTCCTACATTGGAAATGAAGCCCTCAACGTGCCAAGCCCAGCCCAATGTTGTCCTCAAATCCATAAAAGCTGATTCCTCTAAGCTGGGTTTTCTCAGACTTGGCAACTTTAAGATATGTGAACTTCACTTCATAGCTTGCTGACTCGGGAATTCTGGGAGTAGAAATCCACGCATCTTAAAGCTAAGATTGAGAAACCTTACTCTATATTATTGAAGCAATCATTAGTTTTCCCCAAATTTGTCCTGTGAAGGGCTATTAATTGTGATATCAATGTTTTTCCCATAGCTACCATACAATATGTCATATAACTACAATATTTGTGGTTCTTGGAATCAAGGGAATTACTGTTCTCTCAATTTACTGAGCCGAGGTGGCGCAGTGGTTAGGGTGCAGTACTGCAGGCCACTTCAGCTGACTGTTATCTGCAGTTCAGCGGTTCTAATCTCACCGGCTCAAGGTTGACTCAGCCTTCCAACCTTCCGAGGTGGGTGAAATGTGGACCCAGACTGTGGGGGCTATATGCTGACTCTGTAAACCGCTTAGAGAGGGCTGAAAGCCCTATGAAGCAGTATATAAGTCTAACTGCTATTGCTATTGCTATTAAGCTGATTATTTAGACATGGACATGTTCCATTTCTGTTTGCCCAAATAGCTAAATTTAAGAGCATAGCTAAAAGATGGAGGAGCCTACTCAATAACAATTCCATCTTCCTGTAGAATAATTTGTAATTCTAATTCTGGAAGTATGTTTGAATGTTTTGATAGGAAAAAAATTGAAGTCTACAGCTCTAAATGTAAGCTTAACTATCACATATTTGCATTTCCAAATGTTGGAATATAGAAAAAACTCTCATGCCAATATTCTATCCATTGAAATACATGGGACCTAGACTAAAGTAAGTATGATTAGGGTTGAGATGATATTAGTAACTAACAGATACATACTATTTTTTAAAATAGGCTTTCACCCTAATTGATCAGAACAGAGATGGCTTCATAGATAAAGAAGACCTAAAAGATACCTATGCATCATTGGGCAAGTGTTATGAAATTATTTCATCTCAAGTTAAAATCAGTTTTTTCCTTTGTTTTGTAATCTGATACGGTAATAATTACACTTAAGTAGAATTCAAGGAACAGAAACAAATTGCAATAAATTAGAATAGCTTTAAAATCAGACTCTTTGTAGAACAACAGATGGTAAATATATTTTCTGCTCTTAATATAATTTAAATAATTATATTTAAATAATAATTTCTCAATCTATTTCCAAGTATATTATCCTATTCATTCAAGGAGATTGAAGATAAATTCAGTTTAAAATCTACTTTTGTTATTAATTGCGTGAGCTCTTTATGTTCTTTTAAAATGATTAAAATTGAAGGGGAATGGGTAATTGGAAATTGGAATTTTTTTAAACTGGTAAAATTACTTTGCTGGCATTTATAAAAATTGGTAGATTTACCATCAACAAGATTCATGTAAATCTGATATAGCCAAAGACATATGCAATTAATCTATTTGTTTGATTTTAGGTAAAACAAATGTCAAAGATGATGAATTGGAGTCCATGCTTAAAGAAGCTACAGGACCTATTAATTTCACCATGTTTTTGAACCTATTTGGGGAAAAGTTAAGTGGTAAGTTTAGCACTATCTTATAAAGCCATTTCCCCACAAAAAATTAGCCTGAATTTTCCTGTTTGTCCTGAATTAGGACAATGAGAGCTTAATAGTAATCCTACAAATGTCCTTGTTTGGCGAGGTTGTCCTTAAATATATTGGCTAAAAAATTAAAATAAAAACAAACAGGAAATTTTGAAAACCTTGGGGATTACAAATTCAGCCTTCACCACTTTTGATGTGAGCTTATCCACATAGACCCATAAACTTTTGAATGCTGTAGTGGCATTTTCACTCAAAATATATTCAAAATTATATTTAGTACCAAATTTGGTTTGGAAAATGTGTATCACACTGGAAAACTGAGAGAGGCATGAGTTGATTTATTTGGAAATGAACTTCACTTGGAACTCCTAATTCCCGTTGTCCTAATTTTAGTTTTCCAAACTAAAGCAATTGTTTCTCCTTTAAACAATCCCTTTTTATAGATTAACAACTTGTCAACCCATCAAGGGACCTTAGACAATGCTGAGCTCTTTTCATCTAGTCCTGTGAGGCATTTGGACCTTAGAACGGCAACAAATTATTGGAAAACATTAAAGCTGATACTAAATCCTCTTGTCCAACATTTTAAGGCTCACAAGGAACAAGAATTCCAACAAATCCAACTGTATCTCATTATTTTCTGCAGGTACAGATACCGAAGAGACTATACTGAATGCATTTAAAATGTTTGACCCAGATGCTAAAGGCAACATTAACAAGGATTAGTAAGTATTAGATGGCAAAAAGGTCACTGGCAGTCAAGTGCCATAAATTAAAATAAATTAAAAAATAAACAATCTTTTATTGTGAAGCAATCCATGCTGTCAGTTTGGTTTGAACGTAGCAGGGATGATACCTCAACAAGTTTCTGCCTGATTGCATCTAGGCTAGAAATAGAATCTAATATCATTTAAAGTGCAAAATGTTATGGCAAACTAATGAAAATAGCTCTCAACTTCTTTCTCAGTTCAAAGCTTTGAAATAAACGTTTGAAAGTCTTAAACAGGCAGTTGACCTGAAGAAGCACCTGTCCCTTTAAAATGTCTGCTCTGCTCAGATTGTTCCTTCTGATTTGCACTCTTTCCGCAAAGGTCCCCTTCAAATCCAACCACCTTATAAAAGCCAAGAGATAAATAGAATAGAATAGAATACATAAATAGATGACAAGTATATATATCTTAAATAAAAGATATATAACAAGGAATATGAATGAAGGATATACAGTAATAAAAGTATAAGAATAGAATAGGAAAAAATAACATATACACATAAGTAGTTTAGTTTATTGTTGATTGATTAGTCTAACGACCATGTCAAATAAAACAAGGTAATACAGCATATTGGGATATAAAATATTGAATGAAATAATCAGGTAAAATGATTGCCAATCAACCTCAATATGATCTAGATAGGTTCTAAGTTGAGTGGCTACAACTCAACTTGGAAGTCTTGTATATGGTCCATGTGTTTGCACTGTGAAAGAAGTAAGAGAGTTTATTTACAAGTAAAATCAGAATCTTCAATTAAAAGACATACAGGCCCAAACTGGGCAACCTAGGAAGAAATTCTTTGGTTCTTATCAGATAAGAGGCATGATTGTCCTCTGTGCCTGGAGATATCTTCAGAATGAGGAAGGGGATGAGAGTCATTCTAGAGTCCCTGTTTATAACCATGTTCAACTGAGGCAAAAACATGACAAACCTGAATACATGTTCTGATAAAAAGTAAAAATTGTCATGTAATGTTTCTAGATTTCTAATCTAAAAAGATGACATCTTCCATGCTGCCATTCAGTCATCAAGTAAATTAAGACACCCACACAGACATATAAAACATATGTTGCAAACAGAGGTGGGTTGCTCCTGGTTTGGCCTGGATCGGGTGAACTGGTAGTAGCGGTGGGATCGTGCGTCCACCCCCGAACCAGTAGTAAAAAAATTAGCAACCCACCACTGGTTGAAAGTAATGTACAAGACTTCAGTGGCACTTAGCTTATTGACAGAAAGGTACAACTGGGCTTTTGTAATACAGAAAACATTCACCCATGTAGAAATGGACAAATATGTATTTTTTTTCATGCAACCCTTTATAACATTTTAAAACAAATCTCCTCTTTGTTTCTTCAACAGTATGAAACGTTTAATGATGTCCCAAGGCGATAAGTTTACAACAGAAGAGGTCTGTATTTTTAAGAATGCTGTTTTTTAAAGTGGAGAGGAACTTTTAAAAATGCAGCCAGGATCATCCCAATTAAAAATCAAATTCTTTAACTGGGATATTTATTATGGGGTTATGCCAAACAATTGCCAACAAGTTCAAAATGAATTTCTTGAAACAAATAGCTATTGTTCCAAACTCATTTAAACCAGAATTTCACAATTATAACACCCTTGAATAAATAAAACATTGAAAGTAATAATGGAAGGATCCATGAAGCTGCCTTATATAATCCAGATCACTGAAGCATCTGTCACCCTGCTGAAATCGAACAGCAACAGCTGTTCAACTGAGGGGTGCTAAACTCTGGATGCCAGAGATTAAAATTCATTTGCTTCTGTCTGCAACATGCAAATGTGGTTACTCAGCTATGAATTCTTTAATAAAGGGCTGGCTGGCTCTAACTGAAAATAAAAAAGGTTGCCAAGTTTAATCTAAAGAAAGTTCAGGTGACTTCTAAGCTCTTTTGTACTTCTAATCAGTAGCTAATATAACATGTACATAGTGGACATACAAAATTATTGTTCTTTAGAAAAATTAGTTAATCATTACTTTCATTACTTATTTTCAGGGGGAAGGTAACTAATGGAGTAAGTTCCTTTTGTTAAAAGTTATTTTTTGTCCTAATAAATGGTAATTCAGTTGTGTGAAAACTTTTATGGAGAACCCCAAGATAGCAACTTCTAATTTTGTTACTTCTGTAAACAAAATGTATGCTTTTTTGAGTCTTGCAGGAATTTTTAGTAGACATTCTTCTACAGTTTCTAACTTTAAAGGCTGAAGAATCACTTGGTCTTTGGCCTTGTCCTGCTCAAATGCCTTGGGTAAATTCTTCCTTTTTCTATTGTTGTACAGATAGATCAGATGTTTCAATGCTCCCCTATTGACTCGGCAGGAAATCTGGATTACAAAGCTCTCTGCTACACCATCACACATGGAGATGAAAAAGAATGACATTCATAAGCTTTAGAAAGTTGTGTTAACATCTGTCACATTAATTAAACAAAATGACAAAACATTTCTTGCTTTCTCTCTGTGATTTGAAACACTTGTTTAAACAGCCATCTTTTCAGGTATTGAATTGATGTTATTAACAAGGTCACTTGAAACACACAAATCCATTATTTCAATTGTGTTTTTGTGCCACTGAACAGTTAAAAAAAGAGAGAACAGTTATAGTGTACACCTTCACATTGTATTTTAAATATATCTTGAAATTATGGTAGGATTTATTGCAGGGATACTTTTATGCAGATGAAATATTCAATTGGTGCATCTTTGTATATTTCAGATGGTCATTCAGTCTTCCTTCATGGTGAATATTTGAAATCGTGCAACAGTAGAAGTATAAGCTGTTGCAGCAGAATACTTGTTCTAGTTTTATATACAGTATTTAACATAGCGGCCACTTGGAAATGTGCAAGTGTCTGCATCACTTGACTATCTGCCAGTTAACGTAATTGAGATTTAAAATTCAACTGAAAATAGATTAGGGTTAGGGTTCGTGAAAAAAAACCTTTGCCCTGGAATATTCCAAGCAATCTATTATACAGTTACTTGTGTGTGTTGAACAGAGATCAGAATGAGAGACATTGTTCTGTTGTGATTAAAAGAGACCTACCTTCTAGTGTGAGGGCCAGTTTGATGCAATGGTTAAGGAATCAGGCTAGAAACCATCAGCTTGTGAATTCTATTCCCACTGTAGGCACAAAACCACCTGGGTGACCTTGGGCTAGTCACTTTCTCTCAGCCCCCACCTAGAGGCAATGGCCAAAGCATTTCTGAAGAACCTTCCCAAGAAAATTGCAGGGACTTATCCAAGTATTCTCCAAGAACTGGACATAATTTAGCCAAAAGTGGGAGGGGAGTCTAGTCTACCTTCAGGGATAAAAGCTCTCTGAGTGAGTTGGGCCAATCAATGTCAATGTGAGATAGGCCTTCAGACTAAGAATCCAATATCATGTACCTCAGTTCTGCTTTTATTGTAAAGCTATAGTAACATCTTGTAAGCCTGAATACACACACACACTTTATCTCTGAGAACTAGGGTCTTGCCTGAGATGTTTACTAGAGTTATCTTCCTGCTTGACACTCAATCCTCTTTTATCTGACCATTGTCCTTCACCTCTTCCCCCTGTCCTTCAAGGCCATCCTCTCTGCATTTTGCATATACTCACCTTGGCCCACCCTACTTTACAGGGTTGTTATTGTGAGGAGAAATAGATAATGTACTATGTTTAGATAGAAGAGCATTTAAAAACAAGAAACAAAGATACTACAATGAGATAATACAATGGACTGTTTCTCAGTGGGTTATTTATTTCATGATGAACAATTAGAATCGCCCATTGTGTTTTGTGACTTTTGCTCAGAGTTTTCATAAAGGGAACAAAGGAAAACTCTAGTCATGTTTTTATAAAACTCATAGTAGATGGGGAATAGCTGATTTTGACAGGGAAATAGCATGAGCTTAAAAATCTAAGTTCCAAAGCCATGTAAGTAGTATGAATTACAAATCATAGATTCAGGTCTTCACTTAACTCAGCATCTCCATTCATGGAAAGGACTCTATACTCACACTATTTCCATGAGTGCACTTTTTGGCCAAAATACAGTAAATTTTACTGATTAGTTTTCTGATCATCTAAAAAAACTATATCAGCAATTCAGAAAAAAAGCAAGATATATTCATAGTAAATTGTCACCCCTATTGTGTAGTCCATTCTCTAATGTGTGGTCTTTGATATTAACATTGTAGTCTTTCCGGCATTATGCTTTTTTTCTATAGAAGACGACAGATTAGCCAAAGTGTCCCAATATTTCTTAGCTTTTAAGTAAGGATTTAAGTAAATATTCTTTTCTGCAGAATATAGTATGCAACCAAACAGAATATGCACATTATTTTCAAAAGCTAGTGCACCACCTATACATTGTCTTTTTTCACATGGAGATTTTCCATATTTTATTTTTATAGAACCAAGTTGTTTGAACAATTCTGTAGAGAAAGTTCTTTTTAGATTGATTACACACACACACACACACACACACACACACACACACACACATACACGGGTGTGTGGGTGTGTTTATAATTTTATTAAAAGGATTTTAAAAAGATAAAAATAATTTAGACTAATATAGAGTAAAGGATAAAAAATGAAAAAGAAAGAAAAAAACTAATAACAGAAGAAAGAAAAAGTTAAAGTTTAAAGTTAAAAAGAAAAGAGATACAAAGAAGTAATTTCTGAATTTCTTTAGAGCAGTTTTAGATATAATTATAAATTTACCTCTCTGTCTAAAGTTATGTTGTGATTCTTATTTCTATAAACTGTCCTATGTAATCGTTAAAACTACAAATTGTAAGTTCATTTTTTTCACTTTTATGCAAAAAGTCAATCAGAGGCTTTCCACTCAGCAATAAACATGTCTTTTTTTCTGATCAAACAAGGCAATTTGGTTAATGGGTTAAGTCAAATGTTGACAAATATCATAACTATTTCCTAGTTTAGGAAACTGCAGATAGTTTCTTACTCTACTGAATTAAGAGAAAAGATACCTGGAAGTTTCCACCATTATATTAGTGATGGACTTCACGGCCATCCAGAAGTTCTTGAAATACTTTTCAAGCTTACTCTAGATCATGGGTGTCAAACTCGCCATGTCACATTGCTGTCACATGACATTTCTCGATGATTTTCCTATTCACAGAACTGGGGTGGCCGTGGCCTGCGCATAATGTATCCGGCTTGCGGGCCGCCAATTTGACACCCCTGCGTCTAGATAATGGTGAAGGAAAATGTCTAAATCACATTTTCTTTCTCCAAGCTATGGGCAATAGGTTTTATTTGAAATAGTTACAAGGACATTTTGAGAAGGAACAATTAAAATGATATGAGATACCAACTCTTAATATATGTAACATTTAATAAAAAAATAAAAGATCCCCTTCAATGAACACAAAGTTGAATAATAAAGGACCAAAGAGCTATCAGAACTATCAGGAACTATAGTTGGATTTTATGTTGCTATTCAACCTCAAATCTCAGATATACCATATCTCATAAATACAGTTTAGTGCAGTACCATAAATTCATTTTTCATTTATATAGTATAGTGCATTGAAAAAAGAAAACAAGATATTTTACAGCTTGCCTCTGTAATGCTTTTGAAGTACTACTATTCATTATTATTATTTTTTGGACAGGTGTAATGATGAGTTTCTATTGAGAAATATGTAGTGTAGAAATTCTCACCTTAAATGCCAATATTAAAGATTTATCATCAAACTTGTAGACATGCCAATAGCTTGAGTGGAGTAGCTAAGTGGAGCAGAGAATAATACTGAAGAAAACCCCCCACAAAACAGAGCTAGGAAAATATTTCACATTTATGATAGAAGCCAACTATCCTCAAAAACCAGGATAAGGCTTCCAAAGGATTATATGTTTCAAGCCTCTAGCATCAAATAATTACATTTTTTAAAAGCACATTGATTGATTGATTGATTGATTGTTAAATTTATTTCACTGTGAGGTTACTCTGGGTGGCTTACAACAAAACAGAAAAAAATGATAAAAATGTAACCATAACAATAGCAAAGGAATAAAACAATAAAAACAAATGACAAAAGTACAATTAACATGATAAAGCATTAAGGAAAAATATCTGGAAATGAACATAAACCAAAAAAGTATAAAGACACACACATGATTGCAGGCATAAAAAAGAGGTCAGTTTGTAAACACATCATTTAACCTTGAGGATGTGGAGTAACACGAAGTCTTTCATTATACCCACAGGGAATCAATTCATAAGCAGAGAACAAATGCATACCATCAAGCATTGTACAAGATCTCAGGTCACAACCATTCATTCAGCCATCATTCACAGTTATGATGGCACTAAACAAGTAAAACTTACGACAGGTCCTTAGAGTTGCAATTCTTGCAGTATCCCTGTGTTCACATAGCACTAGCACTGAGACTTATATACCACTTCATCATGCTTTACAGCTCTCTGTAAGCCATGGGTGTCAACCTCAAGGCCCATGGGCCAAATTTGGCGCAAGGGGTGCTTAAATCTGGCCCATGGTACAGGCCTGGAAATAACAAAGGATCGGCCCATGGTGCCTCTGGTAGCCAAAATGGGGCACAGGGCCCTGTTTTGGCCAGTAAAGTGCTGTAGGAGGCTGGCCATCACCTTCCTGGTCGGCCTGCGGAGGAGAACTACAATGCTAATCTGGCCCTTGAAGAAATCTAGTTTGACAGCCCTGTTCTAAGCAGTTTGCAGTCAGCATATTGCTCCCAATAACCTGTGTCCTCATTTTATCGACCTCGAAAGGATGGAACACTGAGTCAACCATGAGCCTTTAAGAATTGAATTTCTGGCAGTGGCAAAATTTTGTCTCTTGATCAGTTGAGGAAGCTGGCAGGAAGTTAGAAGTCAAAGTCATGCAAAGTCCTCACTTAATGACCCACATGGTCCCCATTTAACAACAGTAACTGGGACTGCCAGAATTCCCATTGCTAAGTGACAGAGTCATGTGATATCACACTTTACAACTATGTGGTTTAGCAAAAGAGTTCCTAGCCCCAAGTGTCATCATAGTCCAAGGACTAGTTTAAATTCTATTTTCCCACCATAACAGAATGATCTTCCTTGCTTCATTAATCGCTCATCTACTGATAAATGCCAAATGACTGGGAAATAATACAGCATCACATAATAATAATTTATTTTCTGAAAGTTACATTAACAAAGTTATGGCTATTAAACCCAAATACTTATGGGATACTAAGGGATACTTAAAGCAATAATGGGACAAGCCTATACCATAAGTATCCCCTCATCAAGTGATAGTTCCAGCAAACTTTGGTTATACTGACAGCCAATTCTTTCTAAATATTCTCTGAACATTTAGCATGCTGCACATACAGGTTTCTTTAAGAAGTTGCCAGTGCTGAATGAATTACTTCTTTGTATAACTGTTGATAGTAATTTGTTGACTCACAATTCGTTTGTTCAGCTAATCATGTTACTTTGCACTGATTTGCTAGGTTACACACATTTGACAGCAGCTGTTACGGTTACAATTCAAGATACACATGGAATTATTTAGCAGGTTAATACATCCTCCAGGTCACTTAATGGCCACAGAAAGGATAAGGACATTCATATTATCACCTTTACTGGCTATGGCACTTCCCAAGAAACTGCTAATGCCATTATTTTCTCCCAAGTATCTTATGATTCCTCACTAATCATCTATGATCAATGAGGCTATTGAGGTGATGTGCTCACTGCTCCAGACGCCAGTCCATGAATAAAAGGAAAAGCTGAACATCCCTAAAGAAAGGAACAATTCAGTTTTAGTTGAGTCCCGAAGTCTCTAATTCGCACATGTAACTTGATTTTCCACTTAAAGTGCAGGGGAAACTATGAGAGTATATCGGCTGGGGATAAACAGGCTTCTTCTTCTTCTAAAACATTGTTCTTTGACCTGGCCAGTGACATTATATACTTTAGTATCATCAAACCAATTCTGACGAAGATGCGTAATACCAGAAAAGCAAATGGGACGATGATTTGTGTGAGATGAAAAATAGTCGTACTTAGCTCACTCACCACACAGGTCAGGCAGAAGACTGCCAGGCTCACGCAGGGATAGAGAGAAAGCTTTGCAAACATGAAGGCATGCTCTTTGCCACCGTACCGAGCAAAAGGATGCAATGTCTCGACTTCATGGAAGAGCGCGGCAATCCATATGCTGAACTGGAAGATGCTTGCAAAAAAAATGGTAACGCAGCTAATCTGAATGGCTTCTATTTCGTTGTAAGACTTCTCGGCAAACTCACTGGTCAGCTGGTAAGCGAGAGGCAGTCCGCCAATAAAAGCCAAAGAAAGGGTATTAAGGAGAGTCATCAGTTTTGTGGCTTTTGTCACATGGAGGAAGAGAGAATGATGGACAAACCAGAGAAGACCGATGGTTACAAATGATCCGAAGTAGGCAAGGAAACTTGGACCAAATTCTCTCAGTGCTTCAGCAAGATGACCTCTGTATTTCTCTTTCACCATGTTATCATCAGGAACGTTATCTTCACTGTTGAGTAAAGAAAACTATGGATTTAGAGTAGACTCACAACCAATATTTTAAAGTGATTACTTCCTGAATCTCACTTCGTTTTACTGGATTTGTTTACAACGTCAATAACTTCTTGATTACATTTCATTCCATGCCTAACCAAGAAGAAAATGTAAATGCATTAAGCTAGCTAAGTTCAGACTCCTTTTTTTGGTCATTATAATAGAGTTCTACTTTAGGAATAGTTATATCTGATTACCATGGAAGCCATCAGCCAAACTGGGTATATAATATAGACCTATACAAACTCACCCATACCTTTATATGTTTTCTATGGGGGTATTACTTGGAACCCTGAAAGTATATATAGGTAGTTCTCAGCTTATCATAGTTCACAGCATTCAAAGTTACAACAGCTCTGAAAAAAGTGACTTATGACCGTTTTTCATACATACGGCCATTGCACCCCCCCACAGTCACACAATCAAAATTCAGATGCTTGGCAACTGACTCATATTTATAACAGTTGCAGTGTCCTGAAATCATGTGATCCCCTTTTGTGATCTTCTGACAAGCAATGGGGAAGCCAGTCAACAAGCATGTTACTAACTTAACATCTGCAATGATTCACTTAATAACTGTGGCAAGAAAAGTCGTAAAATGGGGCAAAACTCAATTAACAAATGTTTCACTTAGCAACATAAATTGTGGGCTCAATTGTGATTGTAACTTGAGAATTACCTGCATAATCCACATTCTGTAACAAAGTAATATTTTGAAGATTATATTTAAGTGGGGGAGAATCAAAGTAAATTGTTCATTGTCCTGATTACATAGTAGGCATTTTCCCCCCTATCAAGAACAAACAAGGATTATAAATCTGATAAGCCTTTATCATGAATATAGTAACCCTAAGCAATGATTTATGTCTTTTACAATTTTCAAGGGATTCAGAATTCAGTTTGTTAAGAAGGCCCATTTTAAAAAACCCGAAGAAACAAGGAGTGACTTGCCATAGCATGTTAACCCAAAACCAAACCATATTAGTGTGATGTATAAATGTTATCACAGTGCTTGTATCTGCACAGACCTCAGTGAGAAACCACACCAATGGTTGAAATATAGATAACTATTGCAAATCCTGTACAATGAAGGAAACAAAACAAGAAGTGGAGAAAATTGTCCCGCAATTTTCTAGCATTCTAGCATGGATTGCTTGGCATAGAATGCTAAGTTAATTGGGATAATCAGCACATATAGAAAGTGTCCTCACATATTGTATTATAGTATGGTATGCTGGTTTAACAGCTGCGGACAGGAAGGCATTACAGAGAGTGATCAAATCAGCACAAGAAACCATTGGTTGCCCTCTGACACCACTGGATGACATCGCCAGACCTCGCTGCTGTAGCAGAGTAAGGAAGATACTCAGAGATGTTTCACATCTTGGTCAATGTCTGTTTGCACTTCTACCATCAGGCAGAAGACATCAGAGTATAGCCCGCCGAACAAACAGATTTAAACATAGTTTCTATCCTTGGGCTGTGAGACTTTTAAATACAACCACAATCACTCCATGCACACACTAGTT